ATAGAAAGATGTAGCAAGCCATCAAACATTCAGAGATACAGCTGTGTGGCCAATAAGACAATTAGGTGGGCTAAAAGATAGTCAGGTAGGTAGTAAGTTCAACCCAGACCCAGCCTGTCCACAGTTTGGCAAACACACTGGCAATATTTGACTAGCTCACCCACCCAAACCTCCAGCTGATATTTTTTTTTTATACGGTATTAGTACCACCGCTAAATTGTATGACAGATGCCCAGCACTGCTGCAATGTAGACAACAATGCTGGAGATCCTGGGTGACATAATTGACCAAAAATGGTAATGACCGCATTTGGAAAATGATGTCACCCGGGATCCCCACCACTGTGATTAAATTCTAGCAGTGCCAGGATGTCACTTGCAACGGGAGCAAGTTTGTTTTTTTTGCAGTGTGGTTATCTTCATTTACTTTATATGTACTACGTACCCCTTCTGAATGAGTAACAGGGGGTACATAATACACCGTACTTATTCATTAGTGGAGGGGGAATATCTAGAGGGCTCCCAAATCTAAAGAAAGCTTCAGCATTCCAATAAGTCTCCCCACACAAACCCCCACATCTCTTTTGGGGGACAGGATGTGGGGATGAGACCCTTGTCCCCATCAACATGGGCACATGGTGCTTTGTAAGGGTGAAGGGGCTTGTGTATATAAATACATGTAAAATATACAGGAATATCTGGCTGTTTAATATACACTTTGCTAAGTTAGCAATTAGTTCCTTCTCTGTAGCTGAAACCTGTAGCAAGCAGGTGAAAAGTTCACTTGTCTGTGGGTAAGAGTTCAGACACAAGGTGAAATAATGGAGTTCACTGATCCTCAATGGACCATGTCATGCTGCTTAATGAAGTGTAGGCTAATTGACATTCACTCTGTCATGTTAACCTTACATGGATGCTTACTGCCAACAGCAAGCACTGAATAATCCTCTCAAGCATGACAACAGTCCCTTTAGCTAAAATCTCTATGCTTACGTTATTTTATTTATTTTTTAAAACAAATTACTATCCTAGAATGAAATACATTAACGCCCAAGGACCTATAAGGTGCGGAACCTATGTACCTATGTGGGTGGTACTGCCATACGAGAACAGGGACCAAATATTATTAGCTCTACCCATAAAAAAATATTCAAATATTGCAGCTGCAACATTATACAATCACTATATAATAAAACAAATATATACATAGAAAACCCTGTCCATAAAACCACTGAATTGCAGGATTCTGTTTTTGAATGGTCTAATGGGCAGGGTTTGTATAAGTATATACACTGCCTGTCCAAAAATATAAAACAAAAAAAAGACTAATATTTCATTGGACCTCCTTTAGCTTTGATTTCAGCACACATTCCCCTTGGCATTGTTTCAACAAGCTTATTCAATGTCACAACATTTATTTCCATCCAGAGTTGCATTCATTTCTTATCTTGTAGTGATGATGGAAGAGTTGGACCACTATGTAAAGTCTTCTCCAGCGCATCCCAAAGATTCTCAATGGGGTTAAGGTCTGGACTCTGTGGTGACCAATCCATGTGTGATAATGATGTATCATCCTGCCTGACCACTCCTTCACAATTTGAGCCTGAAGAATCCTGGCATTGTTATCTTGGAATATGTCCAATGTGCCATCAGGGAAGAAACAATCCAATGATGGAAAAACCAGATCATTCAGTATATTCAGGGAGGCAGCTGACCTCATTCTTTGGGGAGATTATGTTACTGAACCTAGACCTGATGAACTGAAGCAACCCCAGATCATAACACTTATCCAATGGAAGGCTCTGACCTATTTGCTTAGCTGGTGGTGACTTGTTTTGGATGGGCACTGTACTGCTTTTATTGTGTGGAATAAAAAAAAAAAAGGTTATTGACTGTATAGTGGTACAATGGGGTATTTTATTTTTGTTGGAACAGCCTCTACAAGAAGCCCAATTGCTTCTAGCTACTCTCTTCTATTAGAGCAGGGGTAGCCAAACCTCGGCCCTCCAGCTGTGTTGAAAATACAAATCTCATTAGGCTTTGCTCTGACAGCTTCCCTTCCCTGACAGATTCCCTTCCCTGCAAGACTCTGACAGCCACAGGCATGACTTCCGGGGGAGATGCATGATGGGATTTGTAATTTCACCGCAGCTGGAGGAGGGACAGAGTTTGGCTACCTCAGTATTAGAGGAATTCCTTTTCTATTCTTGTACATTACTCTACATTCTGCACTTGCTGCAGAGTGAACATCTGTGGTCAGTGTGTGGCAATCCACTGCATGGTGAATGTCATGGGCCGGAGTTACTGAAGTGTGACACAAAGTGTTTACCTCAAACATCTAACTATGTACAGTGGAATTTAAAATATCTTGAATACCCCTTGTTTGTCATTGAATGTTTTAATGAAATGCAGGTTCACTTCATTTTTTACATTTTAGCAAGCCCATGGCATTCCTTGTGAGAAGAGGTAAAGTATGCCAAGATTGTGCCATCTAACACAACAACAATTCACATGGCTTTTTGAAAGGTTCACAAATGACGAAACGGAAGCATGGCTGCACCGACACCATGTAAACCACTCCAAAAAAGTAGTTTCTTCATGATTCCACCATGGGGTTCTAGGGTGGACACCACAGCTGGCAAAGAAGTCAATAAAGTCATTTTTCACTTAAAGTTGCGTGTAATTTCAAATAACTGTGGCCAGCTTTACAGCTGTGGACTCCAACTCCCAAGGAACGATCTGTATGGCAGTAATGAATTTTGCCATATTTGTCCTACAATCCATAAACATACTAGTAGGGTTTATTGGCTTCCACCCAGACTGGTCCTGGGGGTAGGTGTGGCAGTGACTGTGGAAATACTTCTACATTCACTATAAATTCAGAATAGTAAAAGGGGTTCAACTTGTAGTATCAGCGGTAAATCACGCACATCATGCCAGGGACAGCCAGAAACAGTGTGCATGGCTTACCGCTGCACTTTTATTTCATAAGGTAGTAAGCAACCACACTTCAAAGAAAGAGGGCTTTGTACAGCAAGTCCATAACACAAAACATGCTTGTCTGAGCCACCAATAAAACGTATGTCAGTTCCTGCCTAACGGGATACCACCTAATGAGTTCCCCAAAACAAACAGGCTACACATGTACCTTTTTAGTGTTCTGTCAGCTCTCAAACTTTTCACGCAGCAGCAGAGTTCACAGCAGAGAGAGAGAAAGCTCTGAGCATCAGTAACCTCTCATATAAAAAGGCCCGCAGATAACTGATACTAATAATGAAGTCTGGCTACCAGGTAACATGTGGACCTAGGAAGTCTACAAAGACTTCAGGTTCTAGGGCCCAGAACTTTTTAAAAGCTTGTTTTCTCCTTAACTGACCCAAATCCTGGAGCTCCTCGCCATGTTTAAGTGAGAAACCTAGATGACACGCATATACCATCTACAATTCTCTCTCCCTCTCTGGAAAAGGAAAGGAAATCCTCTATAAAAACATTTAAGAAAGCAATGAGCAGACAGTCTTTCTCGATGCGTTTCATCTGTACTTTTTCAAGAGCTTCACTTGAGAGAAGTCAAGAGAGGTCAAGCGGCACTGTCCGTGGGTTGCTGATGTTTGCATAGAGGATTTCCTGTTTTTACAAATGGTTTTACACACAGAGATGCTTCTCCTCTTTTTTATTTTTTTCTCCACACTCTTATATGATTGTCAACAAGGCGGAGGTCCTCAGAAGATGGAGAAATTTCATTGTTATCAACTTCAATCAAACATAAGACCCGAATTATTATTATTATTATTATTATTATATAGGATTTATATAGCTATAATCACAATACAATTCAAGACAAGATGGTAAGGAGGGCCCTGCCCCTGAGGGCTTACAATCTAAAAGGGAGGGGGATACACACACACACACACACCTTGTACAGGTAAATAATATTCTTATAAGCCCCATAAAATGTGCATGAAGAGCGAGATAGACTTCTGTTTTTGAGTTGGTCACGACCAGAAATAGGGGCATTTCTTAAACCTAAACTCCAGATATAAAAGATACACAAATCAATGCAGCTCTGTTGTCCAGTAATGGAAAATGAAACGTATTTTTCTAAATGCAAGGCGTACAAGTACCTGAATTTAACCTGGTAACAGCCTCTTGCAATCACCTGTACAGCATACCAATTGGGTAAGGGAACAGCAGCAATGGGAGCCAAGCAGATGTGCTGCAGTGCAAGGTGCATGCTGATAGGAGGACACAGCAGAGAGGGATAAGCCCCATTGATGTGCGGTACCTCTTGTGCCGGGTGAGGCATTCCCCAGCCTCACCCCCAGCATGTCATGCCCCGCCCCTGCCGGATGAACCCCCGCCCCCTGCTGGACGAAGCCCACCCCGTCAGATGAAGCTCCACCCCAACCCGTCCCCAAGCTAGTGTAAAGGAGGAAGGGAGGAGACAGGGAGGAGCCTCCCTATCCCTCACTGCTGAGGGCTCCATCCATGGCAGGTTACACAGCGGGGAGGATTTCCCTGCTGTGTAACCTGTTAGAAGCTGACAGCTTTTTCCTCTATAATTCTAGGTGAGGTTCTGCCTCCCCTGACCGCACATCCCTGATAAGCCCACCAGTGTCTTGTGTCTGCTTTCGCGTTCTAGCCATAGGCTGGGAGACCTGTATGTGTTACTGAACTGCAGCAGAGAAAAATCAGGTCTTATGCCCTGCTAGACAAGGCTGTGCTGTGTGCCAGAGCTGTGTCAATCTCAGAACTGGAAACAGGAGCTGGATTAAAATGAAATTCAACAAAAACAGATTGGGTGTTTAACCTGAACCCATCTTCAGAAGGCTGCTGCACAGCATGCCATAGCACAGCAAATATACAGTTATCTACATTAAAGGTGATTAGCAACTGGAAAAATAATACATTACAAACAATATGTGATGACGTGACAGCTTTATAAAGAAAGAAAATGTGTGTTTTATCTCTTATAATAAATGATTAAACAAACATATATCTTACTTGTGCATATGTTCCATGCCTACCGTGATCATGATGAGATAGGAGATACTGCTTTGCACAATAAAATGTAAGGCATACCTAAGGAAAGGAGACAGAGGAATAGATCATAATTTTGCTTTGAATAAGAAAAATGCACTTTAATTATAAGTGGACCAGTAACACTAAGGCTGGATTCACACCTGGGCGTATAGAATATGTGCGTTTTTACAGCGATTTGCGGTAAAAGAAACGCGCAACAAATGCGCGTTTCCGAGGGCTATCCGGCTGTATCCTAATGGATACGCGCGACAAATACGCCCCAAAGAAGCTCCTGTACTTCTTTGAGCGTAGGGCGTTTTACAGCGAGGTGGGAACCAGGTGTAAAACACCCTGGTGGGAACCATGCCTATAGGCAATTATTGGTTTTCACATGTTGAGCGTTTTACATCGCTGTAAAACGCCCAGGTGTGAACCAGGCCTTAGCGGGGACAACCATGTTTTTGAGATGGGCCAGTCAAAAGTGGAGTTTATCCTTTAAACAGGAACTGTGGCATGGTGTGCTGTAATTCTGATTTAGAGACCCTGTGTCATCCTGATCCTGTGTTACATACTTACTTGCAGCAATTGGAAGATGGAGTGTTGAGTGCTGTGAAGGGTCCTCATTACTCAGTGCAAGAAGTCCAACACAGACCTCACCTATTATCTTCCAACTGTACATCGGTTAATTCTAGGGGTCATAGCTAATGTAAATATTGGACCGCGACAGTCGCAAACAAGGTAAAGCTGAACTCCAGGCCCAAAAACTTGATGCGTTTATATATTCCTCCACAGCCACAAAGGACATAACACAACTTTGTATGCACCAACTGCTTTTGCAAACTCAGGGCCACTGCTCTGCTGATGGTTGAGATCCAGTTCTGCAAGGCTCCCTCTCCTGGCTGCATGTGTGTCCCTGCTGGGAAACGGCCCCATGGAAGTGTATGGGTGCTATAATGTGCAGGTACAGACAGCAGAGGGAGCACTGCAGCATTGGAATGTAAGCAACTGTGTCTATTGGATCTCTGTAAGTACAGATCTGCAGAGAGGGAGGGTGGGATGGTTTAGGTCAGGGGTGGAGGACAAAAAAGGATAAATGCACTTTGCTTTAATGCACTTATACTTTAATAAAGATATCCCTCAATAGCCACAAAGGACATAACTGTACTCTGTATGCACAAACTGCTTTTGCAAACCCACGACCGCTGCTCTGCTGATAGTTGACATGCAGTACTGCAAGTCTCCCTCTCTTGGCTGCGCCTGTATCCCTGCTGGGAGACGGCCCCATAGAAATGTATGGGGCTGTAATGTGCAGCTGCAGACAGCAGAGGAAGCACTGCAGCACTGGAATGTAAACAATAGAGGAACCGTGTCTGTTGTATCTCGGTAAGTACAGATCTGCAGAAGAGGAGGATAGGATGGGTAAGGTCAGGGGTGGGGGACAAAAAAAAGGATAAATGAACTTTGTTTTAAGTGCACTTCTCCTTTAAAAAAAAAGGTTTAATCTTGCTGCCTCCGATGAAGTCACTATGCAATTTACTATGACACCAATGGTAATGTTTCCTTGCTGTGCATGGATAACAGGCACTCTAAAGCTGGCCATACACGGCTAAAATTTCAGTTGATTCCTGCTGAATCGGACAATATTATAATTATTATTATACAGGATTTATATAATGCCAACAGTTCGCTCAGTACTTTACAATATAAAGAAGACATTACAGTTGCAACACAAATAAAGACAAGATGGTTAGGAGGATCCTGCCCATGAGAGCTTACAATATTTGAGCTAGGGTTGGCCCTTTTGGGTCGGCAAATTTCAAAATCAAAAGTCAAAGGAGCCGCATTTAAATTCGTCAGCCGAACAGTGACTGCATCCTATTAGATGCAGTCCCAGTCTGGGTATTCAGACAGCAACGGGTGGTGAATCTCTGAATACAATATCCACCAGTGCAAATGCCTCCATCCATGCAGTGTGTGTGGCTATTAAAGCTTATGCATCACCGATGCAGTGCCATAGGGGAACATGGAAACGGCTTCCTGGGCAATCAGGAAGTCGGGCGGCGAGTAATGACCCGCCTCCCAGCTTCCTGATTGGCCGGGAAGCAGGCTCCATGCTGATTGGCTGGGAAGATAGCTTTCTGGCCAATCAGCATAGAGCCGGCCTCCCGGCCAATCAAGCCAGGAGGCGGGTCCCTGATTGACCGGGAAGCTGGCTCCATGCTGATTTGCTGGGATGCTGTTTTTTTTGGCCAATCAGCATGGAGCCGGCTTCCTGGGAAATCAGAAAGCCAGGCGGCGTTTCATTACCCGCTGCCCGAGAAGCCGGCTCCATGCCAGCGGAAGCACCGGTATCGGTACTCGGTATCGGCAGGTACCGACAGCAAAATATCGGTACTTGCACTCGGTACCGAAAAACCTGTATCGGTGCATCCCTATTTACTAGCACATAAAAAGTGAGATCATTCTGAAAAAAATGAAATGTTTAAAAAAATAATGTCGCCTGCAAAAATCAGGACCGATCAAAGTGTTCAATGATGTGGCCAGTCTGAGGTGCGCAAATGGAGAGACAAGGGATCGCTACACAGGGCAGAGACTACTAGTCTAATTGGTGGATAATAGTATATCTTCAGGTCTTGTTATTTTTAAGTAGGCCACAAAGCCGCTATTGAATAGTTTCCATAACAACGCCCATTGTTAAATATTTCCCTCGCTAGGTCTACTCATTCTTATGTGTTCCTATTCACATAGTATACCTACAAATCATTTCCAAATAAACATCATTTCTAAATAATTATATTTCTTGCCTTCTAGATGTTTCTTTGGTGAAGGCCTTTGTGCAGATCCCAAGCTTCTCTGAGCAGTCTGTCCCTGAGTGTCATCCTCTACTTTCATTTTCAGACTTCTTTATTATTCATTAACATATAATGCTTCTAAGTCATTAACCCTTTGTTCAGGCAGACAGTATTCATATCTCATTTACAACTGATAATGAGATCTGTCAGCACAGTACAGACAGTGTTTCAGTAAAGTAACCATAGCTTCCCCCAGCCTCCCCTATAACATTACAGAGGGGTGAGGCTGGGCAGGATTTTTTAAAAAGGAAAAAAACACTAAGCAGCTATTTTTTTTTTAATACAGGCAATACCTGGGTTATAAACAAGATGGGGTCTGTAAGTTTGTTCTTAAGTTGAATTTGTATGTAAAGTTGGAACAGGTACATTTTTTGAATAGCATAGGGAAGGGTTAACCCCCTGTAACATTTGTTTTGCTGTCTGTGCCCCTGTTCAGAAGATTTCACCTCACCTTCTATACCTGTATACCTTGGATTTTGAAAATTTGGGGTTGTCGTGGAAACAAGCATTGATGATGAAGCTTCAATGGAGACACATTTTTTCCCATCATAACTCCTACAGGAGTGAATGACCCTCCTCACTTCCAGGTGTCTCAAGGACAGGAAGTGATATTTAGGGGATTATTCACAGAAGGGTGAAGAGTTTGGAGAAGGCAGAAGAAGGGAACAATCTAGGACAACATAGCTGAACTGGAAAGTGAGCTGAATTGAAGAATTTTTCTAAATCAGCTATGTTGTCCTAGATTGTTCCCTTCTCCTGCCTTCTCCAAACTCTTCACCCTTTTGTGAATAACCCCCTAAATCTTTCTAATGAGGATACAGACAGCAGTAAAAACCTCAGTGGCTCTAACACCACACTAATCAATAGGGCCGGATTAAGAGCACCATGGGCCTGGTGCTGTTGGCTGATTGGGTGGGAAGCAACAGGGGCGGCTCTCTAAGTAGGTGGCCTCTTGCTCCTCGCTGGGTCCCTGCGATGCTCCAGCGGATGGCTGCCTGTTAGAGAGCTGCCAGCACCTCTGCCCGATTGTGTTCAGCCCGGCTGGCTTGGATTGCTATCGGTCATACCTAGGCGATCTGGGCTGGCCTGCGCCTATTTTCAGTGGTGAGCCTGGAGCTGGCGCTCCAGTAGCCCATATGTTAATCTGGCCAACCAAAACAAAAAAAAATTAAACTTGCATTGTGTTCTACTTTAAATGCAACTTGGGCAGATGCTTTCTGTAATGTACAGTACCAGACACGGAAGAAGAGGCGGCCACTCCTCGTCTAACAGGAGGTACAGTACTACGAACCAGCCCCACTCCTCGTCTGCACGTCTAACAACTTCCTGTGATGTACAGAAGGTACAGTACTACGAACCAGACCCACTCCAGGAGCTACAGTACTATGAACCAGACCCACTCCTCGTCTGCATGTCTAACAACTTCCTGTGATGTACAGGAGGTACAGTACTACGAATCAGACCCACTCCAGGAGGTACAGTACTACGAACCAGACCCACTCCAGGAGGTACAGTACTACGAACCAGACCCACTCCAGGAGGTACAGTACTACGAACCAGACCCACTCCTCGTCTGTAGAACTAACTTCCTGTGATGTACAGAAGGTACAGTACTGCGAACCAGACCCACTCCTCGCCTGCACGTCTAACAACTTCCTGTAATGTACAGGAGGTACAGTACTACGAACGTGTGCACGAGCACAGTAGCATTACAATTAATGGAACAGCCTGGAACCTCCGTTTGTATGTACGAGTCATATGTAACTGGGATGTTCGTAACTCGGGGACTGCCTGTATTTATAAATGTTATGCAATGTGAATGAGACCATCATGTATGTAAATTAGTACATACACTTGTAAACTAGATGAACAGGACTGTCTGTCCTAACAAAGGGTTAAAGACCTAAAGGCCTTGTATGCAAATTAACTTAAGAAAAAAAAAAGTGTCCCTCGCTGATGAGCAGGATGCTCTAGCCAGCGTCCCATCCAGCTCCTGGAAACCAATGACATCACTGGCTGCCAGGAGCTGGGCGGGACGCCGACCAGAGCTGGAGGGAGATTATGCAGAAACTTCACCCCCTGCACCAACACATTCCTCCCACCCGGATAGCATGCACCACCAGCATCCCCCTCCTTCCCCGCCATCACGGGTGGGACACCTCTAGCCAAGCATTTCCAATGATATGACATTCAATAGAGACATGGTTTCCTTCCATCACATACCATACAACAGACTTTAAAAGGAATGCAGTAACAGAGTCTACTTACCATCCAAAGCAAAAAAGTGCAAGATACAGGCCCAGAAGGGTTGCAACTACATGTCTGATTAAAGAACTAGTTTTGCTTGAATGTAGGTAGGTACGAAACCAGATAGCAGCAAGCAAGGCAAATAGTTGGCACGCTACAAAGTTGACCTGTGTAGAGAGCAGAAAAAAATAATTAATTTAAGATAAAAATAACTAAACATTTTTTCATGTATTAAATGCCTTTGTTACGATAATGAAAGATCATCATTCTTCACATACAATACAGCCAGGAATATAAAATGACAGCCTTAGGCGTAATTACACTTTCAGCTTTAGGAGAAGCCCATTTTTTAGTTTTGGATATTGTGGCACAATGGGAAAGAGTGATAGGACCTCTGTTAGAATGTTACTAGGGTTGCCACCTGCCCAGTTCTCGCCCGGGCAGTCCGGGTTTTGAATGCTGTGTCCAAGTTTCATTTCAGCAGAAACCCAGACACAAGATGTCAGACAGACAGGGGCAACCAAAATTAAGATAGGGACTACTGGCCCCCCACTGGAAATAGTCTTGTTAAAACCAGATATTGAAATATGTATGTGTGAACCTTAAATGATGATTGATTTTCTATATTTTAATCTATCCAAGTTTGGAGATTCAGTTTTTTACTGTACTGCTGATTTTGAGTTTACAATTGGTAATCAATCAGTAAGCCTGACAGGCAGACCTAAGTATAGTTGAAACAGTTGTTGGGAATGCCCAAAGAAGACTTGGCCTTCAAAATGAGTTTGAAGAATAAACCACATTACTCAGGACATAGACTATGATGCCCAAAATGGGATAGAAGGAGAACGCATGACTCAGCTACTAAGAGTATGGCACTCCCTTATGCTAATCAGAAAGACTTTTAAGGTAAACATCACATAGGTTATTTTAAAGTAAAAGCATGGATAAAAGGATGAGGGATGATCCTTCAAGGGTCACTCATTCACTCACACACGACACACACACTCACACTCATTCACACCACACACATACACGCACAGCATCAAGCCCACACCCCCACACTCACGTTGAAATAGACAGACACCTGTTAGGATTATTTTTACTATACTAACTAAAGCCACGTTTCCTAAGCATCTTATAGATTTCTGCTGTAAGATATACTATATTTTGTCATCATCAAGCATCTTATAGACTCATTCTGTAAGATATACCATATCCTGTAATCATTTGCAACTTTTAAATTAAAACACATTATGAACTTTATGCAACAACGGCAACAATCATCTATTATTGAACTTTTCCCACCCTATGCTTCGAGAAAAGGAATATGACATAAAAAAATCATATTTCGTGTCATTTTTCTTACAAGTCTCAACTGTGATATTTACATATGAATAAGCCGTGACTCATTCTCCCCAAAAGATGTCCGCGCGTCGCTAGAGTGTGTTCGGGTTTCGCTTGAAGAAAAGGTGGCAACCCTAAATGTTACCGCTGTCTGTGACTCCACTGGGGAGGTTCCCTTCGGTAACAACAGAACAGAAAGTTAGGGAAATGGGGTGACAGGGACAAGGAGGCGCAGACAGCAATACAATCATCAAAGAGATTCTAACCTTTAATTATTGTGGAATAAAATGTGTTTTGTTGCCATCCCTTTTTGCACACGCTCACGCAACGCAAAGGCGTGAACGGGAACTAAAGTAAAACCGAAGCCAAAAAGTTTTTTTTGTTTGTTTGTTTTTTTTGGATAGAGTAAGAGAAGTCATAACCCCTTGTCAGCTTTTTTTTGCCATCTGTTTCCCATTGGGGAGATTTCCTTTCACTTCCTGTCTGATAGCCACACCAAGAAGTGAGAAGAAATCCCTCCATGGAGAGGGAACTCTCTATTGTCAGCAGGGTCACCAGAACTAGTGTCCCCCATTGGAAGATTTCCTATCTATTTCTGTTATGGTGACATCCCACAATTTGGGATTTTCTTTCGCTATGGGCTTTAGTTGCACTTTAAATATACAGGTTTGTAGGCTAACCACTAAAGGGAACTCAGTATTTTACTCATTCATTAAATCTGCTGAACAGCTATTGATATATCAACCACAGCCAGCCAGTGGATTGGTTTCAATGAGTAAGCCAAGCGATAAGCTGGCCATATGTGTGGCAATTTTCATTGAATTTCAAGGATCTTTGATCCCCTAGAATTGCAAATACAATCAAAAGTAATCCCCAGAAACTGAGCAATCTACCACCCACAAATTTAATTGATCAGCATAATTAAGACAAAACTGGGCTGCCCCTAGGGTATTTGCCGCCTAAGGCGATGTGATGTTCTTTGTGAAGGGGGGTGGTGCTGGCAGGGAGGGGAATACCCCTTTATGCGGAAGGTGGGGGGGGGTTGGTAGTAACTCCTGGCAACCAATGACATCAGTGGGCTGGGTGGTATGCCAGAGTGTCACAGGTTGTTAAGAGCTCTTAGGTACCTGTAGCCGCCGCCACCACCACCCGGCCGCCCCCCAATGAGATGCCCTATTATAGGGACAACCCTGCTTATATGGATCTTATGCACCTTTTGTTGCGCAGAATTGTTATTCATACAATTTTGTATTTCAGTTAGCCCTGACACTTGTGTCAATGTAGCCGGAATGGCAACTTCAATAAAGTTTTTTTAATAGGACAGTTGAAGGAAAATTTGATAGAATTGAAATGGAATAAAAATGAGAGAAAAAAACGGCAATATCGCAGAAAGTCCTCACATTTCTACGCTGCTTTCCAATGGGTAATTATGATTACCAATTGAATCCACTGTTTTATGTCTTTAATTGCTTTGTAGTTTAAACAAAAAATGCAAACCAATGTGTATCTTGTCAATATTTGAATGTATACACACTGTGTGCACAAGTTTGCTATGTATTCTTTCTCTAAGGAGTCTTTATATAAACAATTCACAGAGCAGTTCACCCTGCAAATCTCTGTAAACATTCCTTCGGTGTGAATAGATGCAAAAATTAACGTTCTCTGTATATTTCCTTTTCAGTTCAAATGTAATGTGATTCAATATCACATTATGGCCACTAGATGGAGCTAAGGAGCATATGAAAAAGTATCTGTGAAGGTTCTAATTCATCCAGGTCATGGTATATCTGTAATAAATAAATCAAAGCAACTGGACTTGCTGTATTTTTCTTGCTGGTTATCTGACTAGCTTTCTCAATTCAGAGTGGAACTGCTAGTCAGATGACCAGCAAGAAAAATACAGCATGTCCAGTTGCTTTGCTTTATTTTTTACAAATGTAGGAAATAAGTATTTATTTCCTATTCTCCTCAGTTCCATCTAGTGACCATTATTATTATTATGCATTATTACTAGTAGGGATGCACCGATACCGTTTTTTCAGTATCAATTTCGAGTAACGATATTTTTTTTCGGTGCTCGCCGACACCGAGTACTGTTGCCATGTGCCCCGATTATCAGGAATTCAGGTGGAGGATCATTACCCATTGCCCGGCTTCTTGATTGCCTGTGAAGCCAGTGTTCTAGCAAAAGAACACCGGCTTTACTTGAAGAGGCTGTCTGGCTTCCTGACCAATCAGGAAGCCGGGCAGTGAGTCATGAGGTGCCGTCCAGCTTCCTGATTGGTCAGGAAGCCAAGCTGCCTAGCAACATGTGAAGCTGACTTGCTAGCCAATCGGGATGCTGGGCGGCACGACTCCTGAATTCCTGATTGGCTAGGAAGCCGGCTTCACTTGCTGCTAGACAACGTGGCTTCCTGATGGGTCATTAATAAGTGCCGCCTGGCTTCCTGATTGGTTAGGAAGCCAGGCTGCCTAACAAGTGAAGACGTCTTCCTAGCCAATCAGGAAGCCGGGTCATAACCCACTGCTCAGCTTGCCGATTAGATTGGAAACCGTTTCCGTGGTCCCTCGGCACTGACGGTCAGAGGCAGATCTCCCTCTGACCGGAAGTTCTGGGATCGGAGCCAAGTATCGGAGCATTTATGCGAGTATGAGTACTCACCCAAATACTCAGTATCGACACCGATAAAGATACTAGTATCGGTAGCAGTGCATCCCTAATTATTACATTCAGAGAAGAAAATATACTACGTTTGTTTTTGCCTCTATTTGCACAGAATGAACTTTCACAGATTCGCTCTGCAAATTGTTTATAAATGAAAAGATTTTGTGTTTTTTTCAAATAAAAATGACTTAATGAAAATTGAAGCAACTAACTTGCCTTCTGAGAAGGAGCTATAGAGCACCACCACAGAGTACAGCCTGTGTATGCAGTAACTATGATTCCCACCATACACATATATAATTACAAACTATACATAGAAACCTCTTTGAACATCGGCACGTATTGTAACGTTTTTTATAAACTGATCTCTTTCACACATATAAATTAAAGATCATCACAAAAAAGAAATGCTGTATCCCTTTAATTAGAAGACGTTCAAAGACAGGACTGGATACACTGTACACACAAACTAGAAGACATCTTTATTCACAATGGGGGAATTTATCAAAACTGGAGCAGACTGAATCTGGAACAGTTGTGCATGGCAACCAATCAGCTTCTCTTTTCCGTTTGTTCTGTTAAGATTTGAAAATGAAAGAGAGAAGCTGATTGGTTGCCATGCACAGCTGCTTCAGAGTCTGTCTGCTGTTCCCCCCAATGTGTATTCCGTGAGCTTTGTCACAATGTAGCAATACCCCGCTCCACTTCCTTTTACTATATGACTTATAATGGCCTGGCGCGGTCAGTCATGCGTCTATACACTCATCCCCAGCCCAGGAAACTCCATTCGCTGACTTGGGCACAGGGGACAGGAGAGGCATGTTAGATGTTAAATCAGCATCCGCATAATATCACAGAGTCATCCTGAGCAACTTGGACTTCTGTGACCTTCAAGAAGCAGTGTGACACAGAATCACAAGTTCACAGATAAAGTTTACCCAATCACTCCAGATTATTTTCCCTGTGACTGTCTCATGCATATTACACATTGCCAAAGTACCGCATACAGGTTTTAAAGAGACCCTGTCACCAAGGAACAAGATTCCAGTTGAAGAATGGAATAGTTAAAGCGGAACTCCGGCCAAAACTATTTATCCTCCCTGCAGTGTGGCTTCCCCTGCACTTAAGTGTTGATAATGAATTTAAAAAAGTTATACT